CCGGAGACGTCATCGGGTCTCTTCACCCTAGGGTAATTACTGACGTTTCAAGGATTTTACTGTTTGGATATCACATTTTTCAGCTTATGTCTGTAAGCCCACATTTGGATTTTTGCACTTTGATTCGATCGTTTTATACGCATTGTTTAACTTTCCTCACAGACCTGATTCGGAAAATATTGATTTCCGTATTCCAACCAATGCTATCCAGAGAATATGACGACGAGTTCTCTACCGACGCTTTTGAGCTTCTTCCGGACGACGTTTCAAGTGAAGAAACTAAGCTGAAGCTTCCCTCTACTAACGCATTGTCCGACTGGGATCGATTTTCTTTCGCGTTACTTTTGGCACGTCAGCTATCCGCAGAAGATGTTCGCGTGACCGGTTTCACTTATACTCAGTGGTGGATGGAAACGTTCTGTTCCGTTACAAACACCACAAGCTCCATACTCAAATCTCGCGCTGATGTAACATTGTTAGCCAAGTGGCTGATTGATTTGCTCCCTTGGGAGAATGATCCACGATCGCTTCAGATCCAGCTGACGCATAAACCCACTTGGCCAATTCATCCAACCGGCTCGAAGAAAGCTGGTAATCCGAGCGCCGTACCAGTGATGGACCGGCCCGAGGATTCCTTTTTGCTGCTGGATACCGAGGTGGCCATGGCTGAACTGGAATCGATGGATGCCCAGTCTCGAGACTGCTGTGTGCAGTGTTGGAATGACTATGTAGAAATCGCTCGTGGACGGTTAGCTGAGTTACGTGTAAGTGTGTTTCTCACATATTGGTTTCTGTGCCGGTATATTGCACGATACTACGCTGTTACTGTCCACCAAACGCTGCTCTTATTTCTATCCTTATATAAACACCTTATTAAGAGCACGGGCCCCTGGTATGTAGGTGTAAGGTAATTAATTAGTCCGATGGCATGTTGTTTCATGTTCAGCAACGCCATTCTGAACGGTGGGCTTACATTTCGGGGCTCAGTTCAACGGTCAACCCCTAACTCAATTGGACAGCTCTTGCAGTTGACAACAGACCTTCATCTGAAATGGAGGTTACTATTTAAATAAGTTGTCTCAAAAGGTATAAAGCTTCCTACCCAGGTGGGCTGTCCCCATCGGCTTTTAAGAAAGAAGGTTTAGCCTTCGTTTTGGAGTGAACGAAACTCCTTGGTTCAGTATGGAAGAAGGACCAGGTTCCAGCTGAGTGATGTGAGTCGGTTATCTTACTAATTTACAAGACGGACAGTAGGTCCTCTAGTGAAAACCACGGTGTAATTAATTTTATCATCATTGTCTCTTGAATATTCGCTGGTGCTATACGCCGTCAATTGTTTGCTACACGTAAACAGTACACGATTGAGAACCAGACTAGTTTTAGACCCAATCAAGGCCATATCGATCACATTTTCACTCCTCACCAAGTTTTAGAACACCAACACTCCTTCTCTAGACCCACCATTTCTGTCTCCCTCGATCTAAAGGCGGCTTTCGACTCAATCGACCACTCTATACTCAAGCGCTGCCTCTCTCTCTCTCTCTCTGAAGGGTGTCCGAAATTTATCTCAATTTTGCAATTGTATTATACTAGTAGCAGAAGTCGATGCTGAGCTTGCAGCACCTTTTCGCTCGAGGTTGCCCTCTCTCTCCGTTTCTATTTACTTTCGTCATAGATGTAATTCTTGAAACAGCATTATTCTCGTGCGCGAAGAGCGACATCGATTTGCTCACTGGTGGTAGACTAGATGATCTGGAGTATGCAGATGACATTGTATTGCTAATTGACGATCCAGGTAAGTTGCAAGCTTTTCTGGATAGTTTGAGTGCTAGTGTATTTAAGTTTTGTATGCGTTTTGCATCTTCAAAGTGTGAACTGCTGCTACAAGATTGGGTTGACCCAGCCGTCAACCTCATCCTGACTGAGGAAATAGACAGACTTTGTTATCTGGGCAGCTACACCCCTCCTGGAGGGTGCGTCACGGAAGAAGTGTCAAGTCAAGAAAAGCCTTATGCATTTCACGCATACAGAAGGCTCGGTTAGTATTTGCCAACTTGAGACATCTGTAGCACCGTCGCGACATCCGGCTGTCTGAAAAGTTAATTGTTTACTGCAGTCGTTCGGTTAGTGCTGCTATTTAGTGCAGGGACTTGGCCATTCCGAAGACAATTTGAAATTAGAGTATCGGTGTACGAACACCTCTGATTGCCGAGGTTAGGTGAAAGTCTTAGGTAACAGCGGTCGCGCACTGGGTCAAGTGGTCAATTTTCATAGCATACGATGGTTGGGGCGTGTTGCGCATATTCTCAACTAGATTGCTACGGTGCGTGCTGTTTGCGAGGAGGGTAATGGGCGAAAGAAAGTAAAGGGTGATTAAACTAAAACCTGTCATGAAGTTATTAAAACCTTGACTAGGAGGTTGGCTCAGATAGGTCGCGTTAGACTTCCTGCATGTGGACCTCGGGATCATTGTAATCGATGGTTAGGGAGAAAGTTGAGAATTCACCAAAACCATGGTTTCAAGGACATTCAGTAGATGCACGAACATGATTTGTCGATTCTAATCGCTGACTGTCCCCCCCTCCCCCCCCCCCAAGAACCACAAGTAATCTGGAAGCTCTTTTAAGTGAAAGAATCACTTATATTTTCTGTTTACGGCAACTCTAAAAGTAGTCCGTTTGGCCTGTCTTCCTCCTACTGTTTCGTCCGAATGGGCAGCCAAAAGCAGCATCCAAGATGAACCCACGAAAGTGCATGGTTAATGGTTGTACGGATTGAAAATTATTGTTTTACTTGGAGCAAGGAATGATCTGCAAAACGTAATGTACACTACCCCACAGTTGTACCGTCATGCTTGATTCTCAACTTGTCTTGATTCGTTTTCACTAATTTCGTTGCGGTCTTCTGTCCTTTATATGTATTTATTCGGACAACAGGAGCGAACTCCTGATGTGCACTCGGTGGATTCCCTCACTTCACTCGGGGTCACCGCAGCTGTTGCTACCGATTGTTCATCAACACCCGGTTGGTGCGAGGTTTGCGCATGGATTGATGAAATTCGTAAGCAGTTGCCAGTAAATAATCCATCGGAAGCATCAGTTGACGCAGTCACTTGTGCCGCGATTTCCGAGCCAGTCACTCTGCGTATACCACAAAGTTTCACGGAGGCAAATTTATTCCAGTAAGTCCCCGGATATAACTACTATCAAACTCCGTGTTAATTTGCGTTCAGAACCAATCTGAGAACCCGGTGAGAATAATTACATAAATTGAGGTGATTTCTTGGCTTGACTTGAAAAAATAGCAGACCTACGCACTCATTTCGCTCGGTCTATACTTTGTACTGTTGATGTGCTTAAGGACAATTTGTGTCCACTTCAGATACCTTACTATTATTGATCATTGTTCGATGCATAGTACTAGTGTTCAGCCCCCTGTGTTTTCTCTAACATATGGTAATCGGTGTTCCAGGTCGCTGAATGTATCTCTCTTGTTGAGCCATATGTAGCCTCATTTTCATTTTTACTGGGGAAATCCAGATACTTATTCAAATCTTGGTTTTGAAAACATCTCGAAAAGTCGATCCCACTACCACTTTAAACAAAATGCTACGGGACCGCATTCAGAGAGAAATATGTCACAGACCTTGCTTGATTCAAGGAACCGTTCCGTAATATCGTTTATAGTCCGGAAAGCCGATTGCTGAGATTAGTAGCTTATGTGCCACTTGGGAGTTAAAAAGAGCTTAGATAATGCATAACCTTGAGAGCAACTACGGAATACTCAAAAATATGCCAACAGAACGCGCTTCATGTCTCCAAACTGAATAAAGGGGTTTTCCTAAAGGAATTCACCCTGAGATGTGCGGTAATTTGAAAACCTGCCAGTCAGCAGTTTGAATTCATGAGCCGGAATCCGTCAGTGATTACCGGTGCTTAGACTTTACACTATTTCTGCAATGAAATATCTAGAATATCATGGTTCCCGGATGAGCTACCAACTCGTATTGAAGAGGGGAGATCATGGCTTTATTATGCCTTTGCTATCTTGAATTTCGGGCAGTTTTTCAAGAGCCAGACAGTCAGCCTGAAACACTACACTCTGGTACTGTCATCACCGGCTGTTTATCGGGGTATTCCTCCATTGACGCTCCGCTGATGCTCTTGGTTCCAAACAGTTGTGCTTTTAACACGGGAAAAGGTATACTCGATGGTCTGGAGGATGTTTTGTTCACAAGGACCAGCTACCTAAACCCTGGAACTTTGAATAATAGACCTCATATAGCCACCATGGGACAAATGTAGTATCGATCCAGACGACAGCGCAACTGGTAAGCTTTACAGTTCGGCCCTCAGGACCTTAAACTTATTATGACAAGCCAGGACGTGCTATCTCTATTGAATGTAAAGTATTGCGCCTCATTAGTGAACCAACTATAGCTGGCAATTTGCACCCAGAGAGTGGTTTCCGAATGCCCATTCGATAGTTACCAGTTTGGATTTTGTTCAGCTGAATTGGTCTGTTCTCTCATCCTACCTAGGTTTCGCGCGCAAGTGACTAGTCACTTGAGTCTTTATGTGTGTAGCTAAATCAAAACTTCACAATACCATCTCATTTCCGTCTTCGTACTAACAGTCTTCTGTCACACAATTAACGTGCTGATTAGCTTCAGTGTTTCTTTCACACTGTTCCATGCGATAGATTTTCAGATTTTTATGTCATTCTCAAAAGAACCACTCTATATTGACGGTTTTAACCATCTTTTTATCACTTCAGTCTTGTGAAGTATTGCAATATTATAGGTTACCGCCATCTGGTACCATTTTGTACCGTTATTGTTGGGTTATCATTTTGTCCATTTTATCCAGAATTTAGTTCTTTTAAATTGGTCATTCTGCGATGAACCGATCACTGCTAATCTCTCCTGGCAAATGAATTCTAGTTGAAGTTTTGGCATGTCTATAGAAAACTCGCTTGGCGTTTGGCGACTGGAAATACTTATCATTGCAACGAAGATTGGCCGTCTCTGAAGAGTCAATTTTACGCTGCAGGAGTCCGGTATTCGACTCCACAGTTCTTCTTCGAATAATAAAACGGGTAACCGAACGGCGATAATCAAATTTAGCGCACGGAAGCTTCTTGTTTATGTAAGCTAAAAAGTGAAACGAATGTTCCTAAAAACAATTCTGAGGAGAAATAAAATTTCCGGTGCCTTCAAAATTATCACAATAACAGCTATCATCAGACCTGTCCACANATGCGTCATTATAGTATTGCTTGATTTATCACGTTGTAGACCTCGCAAACTTCGAACTGTACTCATTCCTGCTCTCCTCGGGGCTCCGGAATTGGCGTCATTGTCCGAATCTCAGACGGTCGCTCGAGAACATCTGATCAGTTCCATTCGACGGGCCGGATTGGGGAGCCTTTTGGACTCCAGTAACGAGGTTTCTTCCGATCAGGACAATAAACGTGCCGGTTCGCGATGGACCAGGCTCACCAGTCTGAAGCAAGGCGCAAAACCAGCTCAACGAAGTGCTACGAGTAAACGTATCCCCACTAAAGGTCGTCCTCGGCGACCAACCAAAACCATGAAATAGCCCGATCAGTGTGACTCTTTCGGTCGTTTCCGTATATGACGCATCAAAACTAAGATACAAAAAAGATACTTTTGCTGCAATGTGCCTTCATTCTTCTTTCTTGATTAAATGTACTAAATTTTGAATGCAAATTACAAGTAGGCTGTCTCAAAAATAGAAACAGATGTTTAAGCGCTCCTGGTTTGGTTACTCTTTTCTGTTTGTTTTTCTTTATCTATGCAGTTATGTTATAAATAACGTTACCAATTAAACAATTTACCACATGGGGATCCACGTTAGCTGTAGCCAGTAGCAGTCATATATCTGGGTCCTATCCTGAGACGAATACACACCCATCCGTCCGTGTAACCCCATGCCGATTTTTCTTGGAAAACCTTGTTTTCATCAGCCCCCAGCTATAGCTTGCACGCAGCGGAAGCACACCGTTGCTGTTGCCTATTTGACTGAATGCGGTGGAAAATGAACAACTACCTAATTTTTGGTCTAACCGGTCTACGCACCACATCTTTTTAACTCTAAAGTCACGAATGACCACCGAGGCGTTTCTCGATTTACCACACCAATGCAGATGTGAAATTCATTTTTCTCTGCAAAGCGTCATTCATTCAACGAGTAAATAGTGTTTTGTTGTATCGTTATTGACTCTCGTTATATTGTTCAGTCATGCCGCACAGTCCATTCAGACTGGGATGCATGGCTGCGGTGAGCGCTCATCCTCAACCGTTTGAGTACCACCACCATCATCCAACGCATGAAGATTATTGGTGCCTAGGGATATATATATATATATATATATTGCAATAAGTGGTATATGAATGACTGTACAAAATTTCCCTGGAATCACACGCCCGGTTTCGCTGTTCTTGCTCCTCGTCAGGTATGCGTACCCGGTAATCTTTTGTCTTTTCATTCATAAACATGTACCCAAGAAGTATATTTTCGTCACAATAATCTCATTTGCGACTCCGAGTAAATTTGTTTGGACAGCTCTTTCAGAATCAGTCCCATGGGGAGGCGATATTATGATTCGATGCTTTGTAGGTGGGTTATGTATATGCTCCCTTCGGCATGCGCTTTGCGCCTTCACAGTGTTGCTGCAAGACTGGATGTCGCCGACTCCCGTTCTAAAAATCGATGGTCAGGAATCAGCCGAAGTTGACTGCTTCTCGTACCTGGCTGGCTGCTTGATCAATGACGGTAGCGCATCAAAGGAGATAACCGCCCGCATTTCCAAGGCTCTATCAGCGTACGCAGGACTTAAGTATCTGGGGTGGCGACGTGACGTTTCACTGAAATTGAAAAAGCGCATATATTGCTCCACTGTACGGTCAGTTCTGCTTTACGGTTGTTAGACCTTGGATTTGCGGGTAGAAGACATCCGTTGCCTAGTGGTTTTCGACAATCGATGCCTACGTAGTCTGGTCCAATTGGGATGGATTGAGTGTGTTAGTAACCTGGAAGTGCGTCGTCCGGTGTCTGAAGAATGCATCTAATTAAGCTCAATAGGCTAAGTTGATTAGGGCACGTTTTGCATATGTCTAACGGTCCCTTATCGCACCACACCTCGTTTGCAGTGGCTGTTACAGACTGGAGAAAACCTCATGGAGATGAGGCATGAAGAAATGCAGAGTGATTACATAGAGTAGGTGTTTCCCGTCTTCCGGTTTCGGGTCCAAAAGACTTCGTAACTGAATGGTTGGAGACTAA